AAACTCCACACACCTTCACTAGAATCATTTGGATGATTTCAGCTCTGAAATTGTCAATCTCTGCTGAACTAAAGGTAAAAGGAGCATGAAAACTACCGCTTCATGACATCACAAGGTGGAACAGAGCGTTTTGAGGTTGGGAGACGTAGTCAGACTAATAATAAGCGTTAAACATGTGAATGAAACAAAAGACAGCTCCAGGTCTGTTTGTGACGAGGAAACACCCTTTAAATTACCTTTTTAAAGAGTAGAAATAAACGTCGTCTTTTGTTCGCCTCGTCCTTTTTGCGTTTATTACATAATTATAAACGCGCTGAATAATGGATTCGTGTAAAAGCTTTGTGGAGCTTGTAGAGCACATTTCTCTGTAATCTCTGTCTCTTTTGGTCGACTCAAACACAGAAGTTCTGCTCAGTCCTGGAGACGGCTGTAATGGTGGAGGCGCGTTAATATTTTATACAGTTATAGTTGAGGATCAGAAAGTACAGAATGAGGATTTGGACACTTGACCCACTTTTCCACCAGGACTCTGTGAAAGTCGACAGTGGAACTAGAGCGGTGCAGAAGTCGTAAGATCGATAGAGCACGATTTCTGCTTTGGTCGATCTCGATGATGAGGCGAGTGCATTTTAATCGACAGGTCAACAGCCAAATGTGTGGAGCGGACGAGGATTTACACTCTTGTTTAGAAAAAAGCAGCTTGAGTAAAGTAACCAGACTTCCGGAAAAATTCAGGCCAGTCCTGAAATCTAAAATGTTGTTCTGAGTCCGTCCCTAAATGTCCTGAAAATTGAAGCAGTAGTAGTAGTAGGTAGTTATTTTTTAATAAACGAACGACTTCTAGATGCTCTGTTCGCAAGATGTACATTCGCCTCCAGGGAAGAGCGTGTGACTGAAGACATGGGCAGATCCTTCCCCCGTTCCAAATTTCAGCCAGTTTCATCTGGTCACCTTAAAGGCTGAAGTACAGTTCTGCGTCGACTCCACGCACACTGCCGCAGTCGCCTTATCGCCGTCGTTTTTGATTTAGGGATCTGCGTCGAAGTAATTCACTGCCAAAACTCTAGGGGGCGATGATATCTGTCCATTCATATATACCACAGGTGTCAAACATAAGGCCCGGGGGCCGGATCTGGCCCTCCAAGACCTTTAATCTGGCCCTGGGCTGATTTTCTACTAAAATATTTTAATTATATTTTCTATTAAAATATTGTTAATTTTCTGTGGTGTTTATCACAGCAGTGTCTCCAGCGCCTCTGTACGTGGCCCCTCCCACCAGAGCAGCACAAATGAAGACTTGTCTCTTTCCAAACGCTCTTAAAGGACGATCGTTTTGACCTCATCAGCAAAATGTCAAAAATGAGAAAAGTGGAGCCAAGTGCAGGATTTTCCAAGAAAAATTGACTTATTCCTATTTGCAAACAAGTTAATATTAAAACATTGTGTTGAAATTGCATTTTTCTTAAAGTTTCAGGTTGTTCTTAATATTATAATATTTTGTAAAAAAAAGAGTTCATAAATTAAAAAGATTTCTGCAATAGATTTGCGTGTCTCTGCACAAATATTTGAACTTATTGCTATTTTTGGCGTTTATATGAGTTTTCTGATCCGGCCCCTTTGGGATCAAAGTCGGCCCCTGGACCAAAATGAGTTTGACACCCCTGATATATACTGTCTGTGTGTACGACCCGCAGACTTATAATCTCTGAAAAGTTGAACATGAACCATCTCTAACGCGACAAAAGCACAGAACAGACTCATTAGTACAATTATTCTTTTGTCACAGAAAGAACACTCATGTCCACTGAGTCGTGTCCTTTTTAAGTCCGACAGAAGCTGAACCACATACAGGAGCGAGCTGTTTTATGAGCACTTTATTTATGTAAGTTAGCCATGCGGTTTTAAGTTTCGTTTCTGTAAAACGTAAACACATATGCGCAAAGCTGCATTAAACACCTTATTTCTCAATATATACTGAAAGAAAGAAAAGCCGAGGAAATGTCTACAGAGCAGTGGTACTGACGACCAATCACAGCTCTTATCATCTGCGTCACTTCCCCGATGTCTGTGGAGTTTTGACGCGTAGTTAGAACATTTCAGATGTGCACGTTGGTCGACGCAGAGGCCCTGCGTAGGAGCTACGCGTGATGCAGACAGTTTGACGCTGGACTGTAAATTGGCCTTACGCCTGAGCCACAGCGCGTCTCGCCGTTTGTCATCGCGTTTCATAAATTCTTAAATCTGCACAATTTCAATAAAAGTCTGAGCTGAAATCATCATTTGGGGCGACAGTAGCTCAGCAGGATCCGAAGGCTGGCATTTCAAATCCCACTCTCGACGTGAAAATCATTGTTTGACTCACAGGTTGGTGGTGTGATTCCAGCTCCCACAGACGATGTCGTTGTGTCCTTGGGCAAGACACTTAACCCACCTCACCCCCAGTGACCATTTACCATTCTCATCGCGATTTTGATTTGTGTATCAAACGATCTCTGAACTCATATAATCGAGGTGAGACGATAAAGCGAAACAAAGTTAGAGAAAGTTTGTAGAAGAGCTGGATATATTGTTTATTTTGGATACATTTATGTTTTTGTTTGCTTTATTTCATGTTCAAAGTATATTATAGTCATTTTATGTTTTATACATTATACAGGTACATATTTGTAGCCTATATTTATTTTACATTTGGACATTTTACTTTTTTTTAAGAGAAATGCTGAGTAAATGCTTCATGTAACTAAAAAATTATCGTTTGAATAATCACGATTTCTTAATTGACCAAAAATAATCGTGATAATGATTTTTTCCATAATGTGGATATGGAGTTTAAAAACACAGTGGAGCACATCACAAGGGTTTTCTGATCTTTGTTCTAATGTAGTTTCCTCATCACGAACAGCCCTAGAATTTTGTTTTGTTTTGTTTTGTTACATTCACACTGAAAACACTTTGATTCACCTTCTGATGTCATGTGGTGATACAGGAAGTGCTCCACTGTGTTTTTAAACTCCGCACACCTTCACTAGAACCATTTGGATAATTTCAGACCTGTAATCGCCGATCTCCACTGAACAAAAGATAAAATCTTGAAAACTACGACTCCGTGATGTCACAAATTGGAACATTTGAGCTTTGGAGATGTAAACAGACTAAAAATAAAGAGTTACTTAAACGTGTGAATGAAACAAAACACAACTCCAGGTCTGTTTTTGAGGAGGAAACAACATTAAAACACAACTTAAAGCTCACAAGAGTCAGATTTGCGTAATATAACACCTTTTAGTTCTGGTTCCAAATGAAATGAATCCAGTTTTTCCAGGAGTTTAAACATGAAACCCAGTCCCGGCTCTGCTCCAGGTGGCTCTGTGATTTCTCCTGATGGGGCAGAGTCGTCGCTCATGGTGCAAAGAGGCAGAGGCTGTGTTCAGATGTGCTGTCTCAGGCTCCGGAGCGCTCCCTCAGAGGAGACTCCAGCTGCTGCTCCGAGCCTCCGGGGAATATCATAATGAACAGAACCGGCCTTCCTCTGCCCCACAAACTCTGCTCATGAAACCCAGACGCAAAACTGCTCCAATTTACCGCTTTTCACACACAGATACACGGCTGCTTCTACCAGTTTTATACAAGGAATGTCCCAGATGAATCCGTGTATCATTTGTTCAATCGTTTTTCAATATAAAACCAAAAGTCAGAAAATGAAAAAAACAACTGTTTTCTTCATTATTTGTCTCCAAAACTAAAATGAAAAAACGGATAATGATTCGTTTTTTTCAGTTTTCGATTTTGTGTTTAAATGAAAAATGGAAAAAACGGATAATGGCCGTTTCCTGTTTACGTGACTTCCATGACTGCGATGCTGGAGTTTTACACCGGATACGGACTGATCCAGGACTGATCCAGAACCGGGACCAGAGCGGGACCAGAGCGGGACCAGAGCGGGACCAGAGGTTTGACTCCGAGCCTCCGCAGGGTCTGAGCCTCAGCTTCAAGCTCTGGCCCTGCCGTGGGCTCTGAGCCTCCGGTTTGGTCCCGGCCTGGTCTCGGTCTCAGTCCCGCTCTGGTTCCGGTCTGGTCCCGGTTTGGTCTCAGTCTCGGTCTGGTCCCGGTCTAGTCTCGGTCTCAGTCCTGCTCTGGTCTCGGTCTCAGTCCCGGCCTGGTCCCGACCTGGTCTCAGTCCCGGTCTGGTTCCAGTCTGGTCTCAGTCTCGGTCTGGTCCCGATCTGGTCTCAGTCCAACTCTGGTCTCGCTCTGGTCCCGCTCTGGTCTCAGTCCTGATCTCAGTCTCAGTCTAGTCCCGATCTGGTCCAGGTCTAGTCTCAGTCCTGATCTCAGTCTCAGTCCTGCTTTGGTCCCGGTCTGGTCCCGGTCCGGTCTCAGTCCTGATCTCAGTCTCGGTCTAGTCCCACTCTGGTCCCGCTCTGGTCCCGCTCTGGTCTCAGTCCTGATCTCAGTCTCGTTCTAGTCCTGGTCTGGTCTCGGTCTCAGTCCCGCTCTGGCTTCGGTCTGGTGCCGGTCTGGTCTCGATCTGGTCTCGGTCTGGTCCCGGTCTGGTCTCAGTCCCGCTCTGGTCCCAGTCTGGTCTTGGTCTGGTCCGGGACCTGGTACAGTTTGTATGTGGCGCAAAATTCCGGCATCACAGTCACGGACGTCACGTAAACGGGAAACGGCCGTTATCCGTTTTTTCCATTTTTCATTTAAACACAAAACCGAAAACTGAAAAAACGAATCATTATCTGTTTTTTTCATTTTGGTTTTGGAGACAAATAATGAAGAAAACTGTTGTTATTTCATTTTCTGATGTTTGATTTTATATTGAAAAACGAATGAACGAACGACACACAGATTCACATGTCTCAATTTTTGACCAATTTGATCTAAACCGGTCAATTTTGTGTAATTTAGAACCTTTCACAGCTGCGTTTATAATAAGATCTGCAAAAGTCTGACATGATAAAACTACTTCTGTGTGAGAATAATGTGTTTGTTGTGTGTTGCAGGTTCCTTTGGTGCCCACACTGGTCCAGTCTGAAGCCATGGAGTAGCCCTGCCCTGGTGAGACGGAGCAGCGGTCTTCAGATGGAACCACCACAACTCTCGGATCAAATACAGAAAGTACGTCTCATTTACAGTGTTTGTTCAAAATACAGGGTGAAAAACACAAGGTGACCAGGTTTTCAAACTCAAAACTGGGTGATTGGTAATAATAAAATAACAAAAAGCAGTTCCCCGTGTAATTGTTGATCAGCCGAACATCTGCAGACACCAGAGATGAGATCCTGTGGTCCCCAAACTGAACCCCTCCCACCCCTGATTGATCTGGACGGGAAAAAGGTGTCTTGTCCTCTCCGGGTGGGTGGAGAGTAGGGATGGGCATGATTAGTCGATTAATCGATAATTGATCATTAAGAATTTCATCGATTACGTTCATTTTAATCGACAAACCGAATGTATGTTGCTGTGTGTTGTGACCAAACAGGTGTGTACATGTGTCTCTGCATCAGAAGGAGCGAGACACAAACAGTGGGTCAGTCTGTAACGAACCGAAGCACAAATGTGGATTTAACGATGATTTGTACAAGAAATTCCACACTTTCCGTTGCGTTGGGACAAGTGTGAGTCCGTGTGCACAGTGGATAAAGCAGCACATATGTTTCTGTGTCCAGTGGGAAAAAGTTTTACCAGGTGAGAGTCGCTCAATGTGGATGACGAGGCCCCGCCCCCCTCCCCCCGTACGCTGTCCTGGTTTTGACAAACGCAAATCTGGTCACACTAACCTGTATTCACCTGAGTCATGTCTTTTAATCCAACAGAAACTGAACCACATCAGCGACACAAGAGCTGGAGTTTTATCTTTCGCTTAGTTTATGCAAATTAGTGATGTGGTTTTAAGTTTTGTTTCTGTGAGATTTGAACAAAACTGAATTAAACACATTATAATGTCAAACGGGCTGATGTGGCTCTAGAGTCGTTACGGTTTATATGTCGTAAAGTTTAATTTATTTATGCAGATTAGTAGTGCAGATAGTAATAATAATGATGATCATTTTAATATAAAAACGTTAATGATTAATCGATAATCGATCGTTAATTCTTCCGATGATCGATTAAGAAAATTTAATCGAATGCCCGTCCCTAGTGGAGAGTACCTGTCTCAAGTGGAGGAGTTCAAGTGTGTCGGGGTCTTGTTCATGAGTGAGGTGTGAGATTGACAGGTGGACAGGTGCAGCGTCTGCAGTGATGCTGTCGCTGTATCGAACCGTTGTGGTGTAGAGAAGAGGAGCTTGGAGTAGAGCCGCTGCTCCTCCATGTGGAGAAGAGCAACTGAGGGGAGAGCATCTGTTCTGATGTCTCCTGGGTGTCTTCCGTAGAAGGTGTTCATGTCCCACCGGGAGGAGGCCCCAGGAAAGACCCAGGACACGCTGGAGGGACTATGTCTCTGGGCTGGCCTGGGAACACCTCGGGGTCCCCCTGGAGGAGCTGGAGGAAGTGTCTGGGGTGAGGAAAGTCTGGGAGTCCCTGCTTAGAAAATGGATGAAATGGAACATTTTTTGTCAGACTTACAAACAGAGCGGAAGTTGTCATCACATGTAGAGGTGTGCAAAAATATCAAAATATTGAAATATCGTATCATTTAATGTGGTGATACAGTATCGATATTGTGGGCTCCTGTATCGATTTATCGCCAAGAGTATTTTTGGGTACATTTTACTAAATTATTTTGTTACAGAGCTACAGTTTTGTTGCTTTTTTAGAGGAAGGAAACTCGTTTATGCGACACATTTGACATTTTCACTGTTTTGATGAGTAAAATGTTTGTGTTTTTATATGAACTTTGCACAAGAAGAAGTGGTTTAACAAAGACTTTTAGTATCACAGACATGATTTAGCCTTTACATTTTATTAAACCGCATCGAATCGACTTTCAGTATATCGTATCAAAAGGAAAGCTCAGTGTATCGAGGAATGTATTGTATCGGCAACTTCTTAACGATACCCAGCCCGAGTTGTAATTGTTGATTCGCCGAACAGAAACAGAAACAGAACAGAACAGTGACATTTAGATGAAGAAAACTGGGACATTTTCTCAGTTTTCATAGATTTTGTCAGAGTTACTCCTGCGAACAGAGCCAAAAGGAAGTCGTCATCATGTTTCCAAACGTCTTCCTGGTTCGTGGCGTAAGCGTGAACAGAGAATCGAGGAGAAGGAAGCGAGCGAAGCGAAAGAGAGAAGATGAGGTTTTATGGAGGATAATTCTGACCAATCAGATCACTCCACTGCACCATTTCCTGTTACTAAATACTACTATTAGATCAGATCAATTTGGATCGATTTACACTCTGAATTTTGAGTGTTGAATTGGCTTAATTAAAAATATTTCTGCTGAATATTTACAAGGTTTATTGAATTGTAAACACTTTGAATTATTTTATTCTGAAATGTCAGTTGATGAAATTATCTGTACTAGAGCGCGACCGATATGGATTTTGTTGTGGCCGATATGATACCGATATAATGATAGTTGGAGCTGCCGATATAATCACCGATTTATTTAGTGATGTAAAAATTCACTGTAAATCTTGAATTATTTAAAAAAAAACTTAGTTTGGCTCTTGTGGATTTTAAACTGGGTTTATTTAGGCAACATTTATTGTTATTCTGCCTCTTTACATGATATGTCATAGGACTAAAGCAGGTCTAAGGCAGGACTAAACCAGAACTGAACCAGGACTGAAAAAGCACTAAACCAGGACTATAGTTTTCATAGATTTTGTCAGAGTTACTCCCGCGAACAGAGCCAAAAGGAAGTCGTCGTCATGTTTCCAAACGTCTTCCTGGTTCGTGGCGTAAGCGTGAACAGAGAATCGAGGAGAAGGAAGCGAGCGAAGCGAAACGCGGCGCGGCCCTCTCCTGCTCGAGCGTCTCCGTGACCTCTCTGCGACCTCCCGCTGCAGCGCCTCCGTCTCTGTGGCTGTGGTCTTGTGTCGGATCGCAGCGCCCGTGGGTGATGTTTCCTCTGACGGGGCTGTGAGCGGCGCCGTCACCCACTCACCTCCAGAGGAATGGAGCACATGCATCAGCTCGTTCATTCCTCAGGCCGGAGGAGGCGCGGCTCAAACGCTCCGTTGTTCATCGCACAACAACACGACGCTTTGACCGGGAAATCGGTTCTATATATACACACTGTTTTCTACGATTTAACCTTTTAAACCAGACTGAACCAGGTTTAAACCAGGACTGAACCAAGATTAAACCAGGACTGAACCAGGACTGAACCAGGACTAAACCAGGACTAAACCAGGACTAAACCAGGACTAAACCAGGACTAAACCAGGACTAAACCAGGTCTAAACCAGGTCTAAACCAGGACTAAACCAGGTCTAAACCAGGTCTAAACCAAGATTAAACCAGGACTAAACCAGGACTAAACCAGGACTAAACCAGGTCTAAACCAGGTCTAAACCAGGTCTAAACCAGGACTAAACCAGGACTAAACCAGGACTAAACCAGGTCTAAACCAGGACTGAACCAGGACTGAACCAGGACTAAACCAGGACTAAACCAGGACTGAACCAGGACTGAAACCAGGTCTAAACCAGGACTAAACCAGGACTGAACCAGGACTGAACCAGGACTAAACCAGGTCTAAACCAGGTCTAAAACCAGGTCTAAACCAAGACTAAACCAGGACTAAACCAGGACTAAAACAGGTCTAAACCAGGACTAAACCAGGACTAAAACAGGACTAAACCAGGACTAAACCAGGACTAAACCAGGTCTAAACCAGGACTGAACCAGGACTGAACCAGGACTGAACCAGGACTGAACCAGGAAACCAGGTCTAAACCAGGACTGAACCAGGACTGAACCAGGACTGAACCAGGTCTAAACCAGGACTAAACCAGGACTGAACCAGGACTAAACCAGGACTAAACCAGGTCTAAACCAGGTCTAAACCAGGTCTAAAACCAGGACTAAACCAGGACTAAACCAGGACTAAACAGGTCTAAACCAAGATTAAACCAGGACTAAAACCAGGTCTAAACCAGGACTAAACCAGGACTAAACCAGGACTAAACCAGGTCTAAACCAGGTCTAAACAGGACTAAACCAGACTAAACCAGAAAACCAGTCTAAACCAGGTCTAAACCAGGACTAAACCAGGTCTAAACCAGGTCTAAACCAAGACAAGACTAAACCAGTCTAAACCAGGTCTAAACCAGGTCTAAACCAGGTCTAAACCAGGATTAAACCAGGACTAAACCAGGTCTAAACCAGGTCTAAACCAGGTCTAAACCAGGTCTAAACCAGGACTAAACCAGGACTAAACCAGGTCTAAACTAGGACTAAACCAGGACTAAACCAGGTCTAAACCAGGACTAAACCAGGACTAAACCAAGACTAAACCAGGTCTCAAACGCGCTGTTGTTCATCACACAACAACGCGGTGCTTTGACCAGGAAATCTATTCTATTTATAAACACTGTTTTCTCCGATTTAACCTTTTAACAACTTCACTCATTGTTTTTTTTTTCCATTTCTTAAAGCTCCTCTCGTCTGATTCATTGGTTTCATATGTTAAACGGCCCTTATTACTCGATTTTCTGATCTGTTCTCATGTTTTTCCTCTGTCCTCCTCGTTATGAGCGTCACGTTACAACAGAACGAAACTGATCGAACGTCGTCTCCCCACGCAGTCAAAAGAAACGTTATAGATACTGTTAGTTTTGAATCATGTGATAACATTAAATTGAAAATACAACCACACATTCATTTGAGCAAACAAATTTAGGTATCAATAAATTATAATATTATATTAGATCCAGATTTTTTTAATGACAGCAATGAAACTTAGTCAGACTGGAGCCGCCTAGTGCCTCCTGCTCAATTTCATTTTCCTCCAGTGACTAGATCAGGAATCAGAATAAACTAGAGCAGGAGTGTCAAACACATTTTGTTCCGGGGGTCGTATCCAACCGACTTTCATCCAAAGGGGCCGGATCAGAAAACTCATGTCATATAAACCCCAAAAATAACAATAAGTTCAAATATTTGTGCAGAGAAACACAAATCTATTACAGAAATCTTTTTTAATTGATGAACTCTTTCTTTTACAAAATATTATAATATTATGAACAACCTGAAACTTTAAGAAAAATACAATTTCAACACAATATTTTAACAATAACCTGTATGCAAATAGGAATAAGTCCATTTTTGTTGTAAAATCCTGCACTCGGCTCCACTTTTCTCATGTTGGACATTTTTCTGATGAGGGTGTCACGGTCAACAGTCAAAACGATCGTCCTTTAAGAGCGTTTGGAAAGAGACAAGTCTTCATTTGTGCTGCTCTGGTGGGAGGGGCCACGTACAGAGACGCTGGAGACGCTGCTGTGATAAACACCACAGAAAATTAACAAGATTTTAATAGAAAATATAATTAAATATTTTAGTAGAAAATCCGCTGAGGGCCAGATTAAAGGTCTTGACACCTGTGCACTAGACGGTTTACAAGAACCCGGAAGTGAGAGTTCGCAGCCAATCAGCGAAGAGACAGACATTCTGTGTTGGCAACGATTCCCGAGATCGAGGATTTAAAGCCAGAACAAAGAGAATGTTTGGTGAATTTTATCAAGGGGGAAAGACGTTATTGTTCTTCTTCTTACAGGATTTGGAGCATTACAAACGTCACGACCAAACAGCAAGCAACTGGTTAAATAAAAAAAGTACCACCTACTGTGGAGTGAACGAATCCTAATGCTGCGAGGTCAGACGGTTTCTACGAAGTGAAACCGGCTCATGAATCAGACTAAATGAAACTGATACCATTGCTACTTTTTGATACCGCGGGACACTGTAATAACGTATTACCGCCCAACCCTACTTTGAATTTTTTTATTCTGAAAAAACAAACAAACTTTGAAGTATTTTTATTTTGGATTTTAGTTGCTGAAAATTTAAGTGTACGTCTTTAATATGTTTCACATTCAAAATAAACATTTCACCTTTTAAATATTCAGCACAGATATTTTCAAGTCCTCAAATTCAGCAGTCGAACTTCAGAGTGTAAAATGTGCAACAAAAATCCAAGACGCGAAGGCAGAAGCATTGATCCTGTGTGAGTGAGGAGGACAGAAGCTGAAATAAAATAAGAAAGAAATAAAAAGAGAAGATGAGGTTTTATGGAGGATAATTCTGACCAATCAGATCACTCCACTGCACCATTTCCTGTTACTAAATACTACTATTAGATCAGATCATTTTGGATCGATTTACACTCTGAATTTTGAGTGTTGAATTGGCTTAATTAAAAATATTTCGGCTGAATATTTACAAAGTTTATTGAATTGTAAACACTTTGAATTATTTTATTCTGAATGTCAGTTGATGAAATTATCTGTACATGTTTTTTCAGAGTGAAAAAATTCAAAGTGAGAAATTCAACAGCATTTAAAATTCTAAATCTGGTGAAACGAATGATGTTCCATATAAAAGGAGCTGTTAACAAGTGGAACAGAACATTTTGAGTTTTGGAGATTTAGACAGACTGATAATAAAGAGTTACTCAAACATGTGAATGAAACAAACACAACTCCAGGTCTTTTTTTGAGGAGGTAACAACATTTTAACATGGCTTAAAGCTCACACAAGAGTCCATTTTGTGTAATTTAAGACATTTAATAATAACATAACCCCTTTAAAATACTCGGACGTCCTGGAGTGTTTTGTTTTTTGTTTCTTTCACATGTTAAAGGCTCTTTTCATATCCCGTTTTACCAGGAAAAACAGTTCATCTTAGAGAAAACACCAGAGAATTGATATTTAATTGAACTGTTATGACGCGAAAAGACAAAGGTTAAAGTGTGATTCTGATTTGACTGTGATGCAAAGTGCAGGAGGGCAGTTTGAGTTCAGGATGTACTTTACTAATACTCTAATACTCTATTTGATTATCACACTAATGTAGGACTGTCTAGACCTGCCACGATAACATTTAAAGTACAATAAATTGTTTCAGCGATTAACTGTGATAAACGATACTGAAACGACTTTATGCCACTGACAAAATGACTAAAATACAAGAAAATCTGAGTATCTTCTTTTTACTGATGACTCGATTCATCTTTATTGTGCCTTGTACAACCTTGAGTCTTAGTAGACGACACTTTGGCCACTGGTGTATGGGATTATTTTTCTCTCATTAATATTCACAAATGCACAGATGGTGATCTACAAATAGTCATTGATTTGTTCATGTGTTTTGATCCACAAACGCAAATTTAATATTTGGAACTTGTATTTGGTCTACCACTAGATGTGTGTGTATTTGTGGAAGTTTGTGGATAGTTTGTGGATCCGGTTTTGTGGATTGAGTTTGTGGATCCGGTCCGAGTTTGTGGATCCGGTCCGAGTTTGTGGATCCGGTCCGAGTTTGTGGATCTAGTCCGAGTTTGTGGATCCGGTCCGAGTTTGTGGATCCGGTCCGAGTTTGTGGATT